ATATCACTAATATCATATGAAAGCAAGATTCTACATTGAAAATTATCCAAAAACTACTCCAAAGAGTGGAGTAGCACACCAACAGAGAACTGCCAGATGTGCAGGCTGGGTTTAATGTTAAATGGATCTTGGCTGCGAGCAAAGAATACCAGAGGAATGTCTATCTGTGTTTCATTGACTATGCAAGGGTCTTTGTGTGGATCACAACAAGCTGTGGCTGATCTGAGAAGAATAGAAATTCCAGGACATTTGATTCTGCTTATGAGAAACTTATACTTGAATCAGAAGTCAGTCATCAGAACAGAGCAAGGAGACACTGCATGGTTCGAAATCAGAAAGAGTGTGTGCCAGGGATGTAGTCTGTCGCCATACCTTTTTAATCTATATGCAGAACAGATCATCTAGGAGGCTGGGCTGTCTGAGGGGGAATGGGACATCAGGATTGAAGGAAGATTCATCAACAACCTCCATTATGCAGATGACACAACCCTATTTGCTGAAACTGGGAAGGACCTGAAGTGCTTGCTGCAGAAGATCAAGGATCACAGCCTTCAATATGGATCGAAGCTCAATATCAAGAAAACAAAGATTCTCACCACTGAGTCAATGGGCAGCATCATGATAGATGGTGAAGAGATTAAGATTGTTAAGAGCTTCAGCTTGCTTGGCTCCACAATCAACAGTCTTAATACCAGCAGCCAGGAAATTAAGAGACTAATTGCATTGGGAAAGTCAGCTGTCAGGGACTTCTCCAGAGTACTGAAGAGCAACAGTGGCAGTCTGGAGACTAAGGTGCACCTGATCCAGGCCATAGTCTTTGCACTTGCTTGCTATACATCAGAGAGCTGGACAATGACTAGAGATGATAGAAAGAGAATTGATGACTTTGAGCTATAGTGCTGGATAAGAGTTTTCAGTATACCTTGGACTGACAGGAGAATAAACAAGTTCTTCCTAGAGAGGGTGAAGCTAGGCTGCTCCTTGGAGGCAAGGATTCTGAGTCTTCATCTGATATACTTTGGATATGTTGCAAGGAGGGATCAGTCCTTGGATAGGGACATCATGCTTGGAATGGCGAAGGGATGGAGAAAGAGGGAGACCATCGATGAGGTGGATTGATACAGTCAGTGACTGGGGTAAAGAGGGTTGTGTCAGAGATAGTATATTTGGCACAGAATAGAGCCGGTTTCAGGGCAGTTATACATAGGTTTGCTTTGAGTCGCAAGTGACTTGATGACGCTTAACAACAACAACAAGAACAACATGAGTCATAGTTGATTCAATAGCACCCAACAACAACAGCAATTTCTCATAGAAGTTCTGGTAAGGTGATGCTAACTGATAGGTCAGCAGTTCAAATCCATCAGCTGCTCCTTGAAAGGAAGATGAGCAGTCTCCTCCTGTGATTTATAGCCTCTTAAAAACCTTCTGGAGCTATGAGTCAGGTTCATCTCGAGAATAGTGAGTTCAGTAAAGTCTTTGTTCTCTGGAAGTTGTGCTGCTAACCCAAATATGGCACCTCTCTGGTGATTCGAATCCGCCAGCACTTTTGTTTGTTGTTATGTGCCGTCGAGTCGTTTCCGACTCATAGCGACCCTATGCACAACAGCCCTAAACCCTGCTCTATCCTGCGCCAACCGCACT